TTTTTGATACATACATATGTATTTTTTGAACTAAAAGTATTTTTTCCTTTCATGTATAATTTTTTTTACAGTATTTTAAATCAAAACACTAATTTTTAAGTTTTAGATGCATATTTTGTTAAAAAACTATGTACATCTATTTAAACTTTTCTGTTGAAATTTGTTTATTGAAAAAAAAATACTTTTTTATTTTCATATTTAATTAATTAATGAATTATTTTTTTTGTTGCAAACAAAATTATTGTAATGTTTAAAATTTTTTGCAAATTTAGTAATCTAGTTAAAGCGGAAATACATTTATTTAAACTTTTAAATATTTTCTGTACTAATTTTTAAGATAAAAAATAATTTTATTTTTATATTTTCTATCGATTAAAATACGCGCTGGGCTTTACTACTTTGACTATCACTAAATTTTCATGTTTTTTCCAACTTTTGTACTTTTTTCATAATTTTGCGCATCTTTAAATCGCCGGTCTTATTTATTTTTTTGCTGCTTATTAATTCTGTTGTGGACATAGATTTATCAACAGCAGATACTACCACTCAATATACGTCAGCAAGCGTAAATATAAAATAAAAATAAATAAAACCACTCAAACAATAAAAAACAACAAAAAAAAAAAAAAAACAATACTCTAACAACAAAGTCAACAAAAGCATCTGTGGCAAAAGTCAACAGTAATCAGTGCGTTCAGTGAGGTCAATGACGAGAACGTCTCATTGAATTTGTGAACTGCTAAAGTAAGTACATTAAATTTTAAATAAATTTAATACATAATAGCATGTAAATACTTCTATATATTGTAACGGTATTGTATATATACTAAAAAACAAATAATCAGTGCATGTAATTTTTGTATTCTCAAGTTAAATCTGCTTATCTGTCAACCTTTGGCTATAAATCTTTTAAAGACATTATACAAATGATAATATTAATTCATTAATCTTCGTGAAGAATATTTTGAAAATCTTATTCCCGATTTGATTTGCTTACCACTCAGTTTTTTAGTTACACTCAGTTATAAGACGCTGTCTCATCTTTGGTTTAGTTTCCTTATACAAATTGCCATAGTATTCAATTGCTTCTTATCACATCCCAGAAACTTTTCATCTAAAACTTGATAAAATTTGTCATCGTCCAAAACAGAATCTTCAAAAAATTAGTTGACTTCTTGAATGCTGAAATCTTCAAGCCCTTCTCTTTATTAGTTTATTTAGTTGATACCTCAAGTTTTGATCAATCAGTTATTTTCAATCTCTAGTCCCAGATCCGGCACCTAACAATGCAATCTGTCTATCCCAAAGCCATTCTAGTGATTACAAAAAAAAAAAAAAAAATTAATGAAATGCAAACAAATTCTATTTATTACTTGACATACAGCAATTTTGGTGTTTTTATTCAAAAACACACCTAAATAAATAAATGGACCGACATATAGGTAGCACATATTTTTCAAGTTATTGGTAATGTACAATCAAAAGAAGAAGATTAATTGCGTAAGAAAATTGAATGAAACTGTGACTCTCAATTACATTTAATTTAAAAATATACATACATATGTACATTAAGATGATTATTAAAGTCAAGTTCCGTGGATTTTTTAGCCTTAGTAATAAGTAAAAAAAAAAATTAATTAATTGAGTTTTTGGCTTTCAATGCAGAAAGCCAATGTTGGAATTCCCTATCGAGAAGAATTTTGACATTCAGCACATATACAGCAAAAAAACAAGTAGCTGAATATAGTGCAGCTGAATATAGTGCAGATAAGTTGTGATTTCGTAACAAGATAATCAGATCTTTAATAAATTATAGCTGAAGTTTAAGTTTTTTGAATTTTTTGACATTTAACACATATTCATTTTAAAAATTAAAAGCTGAATAAAGTGCAGAAAGTTAAGTTGTAATTTAGTATCAAGATTATTGGATGCGCAGCACATATTCAGCTTAAAAAATTGTAGCTGAATTAGGCGTTCTAGCTGAATAAAGTGCTGAAAGCGAATGTTTAAACTTCGTATTAAGATTTTCAGATGTTTTGGTATTAACGCTTATTCATCTTAGAAAATAATATTTGAATACAGTACTGGAAGCCAAAGTTGGATGTTTTCTCAGTTAGCACTCACTCACCTTAAAAAATAGTAGCTGAATAAAGCACTCGAACTTAAAGTTGGAATTGCATATCAAAATTAGCACATCGTTTGGTATTCGGCACATATTCAGCTTAAAAAATTGTAGCTGCATAAAGTGCTGAAACTGAAAGTTTGAACTTGGTACTAATATTTCCAGATGTTTTGGCATTCAGCACTTATTTAGCTTTAAAAATAATAGCTAAATAAAGTACTGGAAGCTAAAGTTGGAACTCCGTATCAAAATTAGCAGATGTTTTGAAATTCAGCCTAAAAATCATAGCTGAATAAAGTGCCTAAAAATCTGATTTGTAGTTCAGCTTGAAAAAGTGAAATTATGTAGTTCCGTTTACTTTTTCATCGATATTTTCAAAACATAAGTATTTCACAAAAATTTTAAGTTGATGCTTTTCTAAATTATATATTTGTAAGAGAATATCGCCACCCATAGTTGTAGAGCATAAAACTAATAAGCTGAGATATGAGATTTCTAAAAACGATATTAAAGCTTTCGAAATCAGACAATTTTGATAGATTCAATCCGAATCCAACCATCGAATCGAAATCGATTGCATTCGTTTATATACCACATTGACAATATTTATGGAGCGCTCTAATAATATACTTGGTTTCTCATGACAGCTGTAGGAAAAAAATAAAAATTGATACCACATTATTTTCTTCGTATATACATCTATAATAGTATATATATATATATATGTATATAGACGTTGCTTGTGAAATGATCAGGGGGTTATCAATTAATTTAACCTCCTACTGCGAATATTATTATCAATTTCACATATATTTGAATACAATTTAGTCTGTGCAACAGCTAGAAAATAATATTATTTAGTAGTTATATTAAATATGAAGCTCTATGTTTTATATGAAAGCAAGAATTCTTGAAATTTCTTTACGTAATTAATAAAAAAAAGAAATTACACTGTTTATTACCAATTGGTTTTATGATTTATAAAAAGACGGGGTGTGCCGGTTTTGCGAATATCAAATGACTAAAAGCTTATCAAGAGTTCTTTGTACAATATAACTGTATTTATTTACTTGAAGTTTTTTATAAATATAAATATTTTATTATTTACTCTATATATGCAACAGAGTGTGTCCTCTTGGCAAATATCTAAGTATACGCGAGTTAGGAGTGCAGTCTTTAAACCTTGTAATCTCGTTTCATCGTTGTGTTCTAGCCATTTGGTGCCCGCAACGAAACTACTTTTCTCCGTTATGCTGTTTGTAGAAAGACATTCAAGGTTCGGTAACTGAAGGAGTTCACGAGTTCTAAGTCGGGTTTGTGATGGAGCTGTGTGTAGAAATGTTTTCTTACTTCCTTCGAGTTAGTAGCTTCGGCAAATAGTGATGTATGCCATTTTTAACATATGATCTCAAAATAATCAAAGGTTTTTATGGTAGCTGTAAATCTGTATATACTTTTGCAAGACCTATTTAAAAAGTTGTTAGCTCTTGTTTTGTTCAATATTGGCCATATCTATTTCGCTATCTTGCATTTGGTTGCATATTTCCAACTGCTCTGGGTTATTGTGTTCTGTGATCAAGTACCCAAAATATGGATAAGTGTACTACCAGTGAGCTTAAAGGTTTCCGACACGTCTAGCAATGCCACCTGACTGACATATAGTCATCTGTGTATAAGGTAGCATTCGGCAGTTATTTAGTAGATCTCCCCATCCTTTTTCTAGCTAGTATTTTCGCTTAGTTAGTGGTCCGAATTAACGCTACCTCGAAGCGTACGCACGTCTAAAACGCTGGAGTTGTGTCTTCCATCTATCATAACATGATCGATCTGGTTGGTGCCTTTTCGATCCTACTTTCGATCTAGTACTACAAATAACCATGTTTCGGGCCCCGGCGAAGTCGATCAGCCTCAATCCATTTGAAGATATTTCCGAATGGATGCTGAATTTACCGACCATTGTCCCAAAAATACGATGAGCTGTATGAGATATATACGACATTGACATAGTTCAGCGAATTAAAAGACAGCGGCTATGATGACTAGGTTCTGTCGTCCGAATGGATGAAAACACTCCAGCTCAGTAAGTAATCGACGCAGTACCCCACGGGGGAAGCAGAAGAAGAGGAAGACCTACACTCCGTGAGATCTGATGGAGAAGGACCTGACTGCACTTGGTATTTCGAATAGGCGCCAAATTGTGAAAAGAAGAAACGACTGGAGCGCATAAGCGGTGTCTACGCCATTAAAGAAGAAGACTAAATGTATCTCTTTTTCTTATTTTTTCGCAATAATTTGAAGAAATGTTATAGGGGAAATGAACTTAAAGGTGATCTATTTTGAGGTTCCCTGCTTATTTAAGATACTTCAAATTTAATGGGGAATATTTAGTGTCATTGGAAAGCACATTTTTTGGCATTATTTTTTTGAAGATTATCTTCCTCAAATGTTGAACGCAACTAAGTCTCAGATAGTCGTTCCGTTGAGTTCAATATTCAATAAATTTATTAATTGATGGATTGACTCTACACGGTCTTCGTTTACACTCTCAGCTAAGGCTGCCATATTTTCTTCACTTCGTAAACACTGGGTTTCAAGATGGGTGATGGTGTTGCGAATAGTACGCTCATTCGCTAGTAACTTTCTAGTTCTTTTTCACCCGTTTTCAGGCATTTGAAAAGAGGCCATGTTATCCGTTAAGGTCCGTTCGTTAGCGTTTTCGCCCATCCAGTCGAGACTTATAATCAGTTACCATTACCTGAACTTAAGAAATTTAAAAAATACTTCTTACTACACGGGAAGTAACTAGTAACGATCTAGACCATTTTTCCGCAATTTGTGAAGAGTTTTAAGAATACAAACAACTTCCAAACAAATTTACTTGATCACCTAAATATTCAATATAATTTAATAACCAAACTTTGTAATGAAATATATACAATCGTTGGGAAGCACGCAAAATGTGATACTATAAACCGGTTCATTTACATTGCCATGCATTTTATCACAAGCAGACGACAGCTGGAAATGCTAATATCCGGCATTATATTCTGCCCCAACATTTGAATGTGTATTTTAAGCGCGTTGACACACCTTAAATCAATATCCCCCTGCATGGAGCAAGCCAAAGCCGGTTTCACACGAAGCCAATGAGTGCATAATTATGCGTTTACGCGTGCTGTTGGATACAGTTATTGTACACGTGTCAATGCTGACAGCGCACCCGAGCCGCCGTTATCATACGATTTATCGATTTTAATTTCAACAAAGAATTTTTCAAATACTTTTATTTGCTTAAGTTGATAATTATGGCTCTCGCAGGAATATGGGCGTGTAGGGAAAGTTAGTAATGCATTGCATCTCAACACATGACATGCATAGCCGTTTTTCAGAGGTGTTTTGGTATATTATATGTTAGAGCTGTAGTTGGATTAAAGTGAATCAACATTTTCGGTACTTACATATATTCATTTCATAAAAAATTTGAGGAAGTTCCCTTCGCCTTGCATTAAATTACTCTCAATGGCATGGCTCAAAGTTGCTATCGGACTTAGAGAATCTGGGTTCCTGGGTTCCGCGTGTCTGAACACTCTGAAATCCTCACTGACTTTGACTTCATACCGGA